CGGCCCGGTACTGGGATCGGTTCTTCCGGCAGCGCGGCCAGCGGCCCTTCGAGTGGTACGGGGCCTTCCCGGAGCTCTGCCCCGTCCTGCACAAGTACGTCCGGCCCCGCGACAAGGTGAGCCCCGTCTGCAACCCAGAGCCGTGTGACCGGCCGAGCGTCCCGGGACCGTGCCGGCCTTCTCCTGGGCGGCGAGCTCAGCGCCGCCGTGTCCCGACTTAAGCTGCCATCGTGCGCTGACACAGAAGATGCAAAGCCCCCAGTGTGCCATAGCAAGAGGACAGGAGAGACCCCCGAGTTGCCCTGGGACAGGGAGCTCTGGGGGTTAAAACACCCACATCATCCCCACAAGGGATGCAGCAGATGCATCGCTTCTGTGCCCGTGTGGCTTTTCCATAGAGAAATGTTGTCTCGGGGCCCTAGAGACCCAGTCCCACTGGTTTGCAGGTTCTGCGGGTGTGGTTTTCACAGAGGGCTCGTGGCCGTGGCTGATATTTGCTCGTAAAATGCTTTGGGGCGCGTTTCCAGGGCGTTCTCACCATCTTGTGCCACTCCACAGGTTCTGGTGGTGGGCTGCGGGAGCTCAGAGCTGAGCGAGCAGATGTATGACATGGGGATGTGCGAGGACATCGTGAACATCGATGTCAGCGACGCCGTGATCCGTCAGATGCAAGAGCGGAGCAGGAGCAAGAGGCCAAAGATGAGCTATCTGCTGATGGACATGCTTCAGATGGAATTCCCTGACGCCCACTTCCAGGTGGTTCTGGACAAAGGCACATTGGACGCCATCCTCACTGATGAAGAGGAAGGCACTCTAGCCAAGGTGGACAAGATGTTTGCCGAGATCAGCCGGGTCCTGCAGGTAGGAGGGCGCTACCTCTGCGTCTCTTTGGCTCAAGCCCATGTGCTGAAGAAAGCAGTGAAATACTTCTCCCACGAAGGCTGGGTTGTGCGTGTCCATCAGGTGGCTGGCAGCAGGGACAACCAGCAGTTTGTCCTACCTGTCTTTGTCTATGTCATGACAAAGTTCAGGAAGATCCCCGGCTCAGCACCACAGATTCTGGAGATCTGCCCTGAGGAGCAGGACAAGCCAATGCGGGTGGAGAGCGCGGAGCAGCTGGTGGCAGCAGTGAAGGACAGGCAGTATTACGCCCTGCTCTGCAGCCAGCTGAGCAAAACCCCCTGCGGGGAGCAGGTTTCCCTGGATCTGTGCAACAAAGAGAGCGGGAGGCCTCGCTACACACTGCATGTGGTTGACAGCCCCTCAATGAAACCTTCCCGGGACAATCACTTTGCTATCTTCATCAGTGAGTACAGCCTTTCCTGCCCACAATGGGACGGCGCTCTGGCCAGGAGCTGCAATATGGGCCTGGCCCTGCTGAAATTGTGGTTGGAGAGAGAAATAACCTACTTGTGCGGGGTTCGGTTGATGGTTTAGTCCTGGCTTTGTGGTGGGACATGTGTTTGCCTGGTGGTGCAAGCAGAGGTCTGGCGCAGAGCTTTTTGGCTGAGTGGATGCCCATCTGGCAACAGAGGCACACTGCCAGCCCTGCCTCCAGGGTGATGGTTCCTTGATGCTGGTGACAGCCACCGTAGCATGCCACTGCATAAAGCCAGAGTACAGTGGATGCAGCCGGAAAGGCATCGCTGGTCTGTGCGGGCATCCTGACTTGCCAGGGCCAGGCTGCTCGGGGCTGCGCTTTGCTTTTGTGCTTGTACCTCGCAGAGACACATTGGGCTTTGCCAGCAGCACTGTTCCCTCCCTGCGTGCCTGCAAAGCTGGGGCTTAGCACAGCCTGGAGACAGGTTGTGAGGCTGTTGGATGCCCGCTTCTTAGCTTAGGCTAGATATTAGGAAAAATTTGTTTACTGAGAGAGTGGTCAAGCAGTGGAACAGGCTGCCCAAGGAGGTGGGGGAGTCACCATCACTGGAAGTGTTCAAAAAATGTGTAGACGTGGCATTTCGGGATATGGTTTAGTGGGCATGGTGGTGTTGGGTTGATGGTTGGACTTCATGATCTTAAAGGTCTTTTCTAATCTTAATGATTCTGTGATTCTGTTATTCTTACGAGGTCTGGCTTTTCCAGCCTCCTGCATGAGCCTGCCCAAAACAGGGAGGGTCCTGGCTCTCTTGATGGTTGGTAGAGCACAGCTCTAGGCACGCAGTGGTACCTCCTCATGATGTCTTGCCATTCCCTACAGCTCCTCTCTTGGAGGCTGGGGTGGTCGCTGAGGGACCAGGACTGACCCAGGCTGATGGCTGCCCCTTCTGCAGTCCCACAGGGCAGAGAAACCGAGTGGCTCTTTGGGACGGAGGAAGGGCGGAGGCAGCTGGCCACAAGCGCGGGCTTCGGGCGCCTGGTCACTGTGGCCCTGCACAGGGAGCAGCACTATGAGGGAATGGCTGGCATCCAGGCGGAGCTGTCGGGGAAGGTCATGGAGCTGGCCCCGCCGGGCCTCCCTGCCCGGCAGCAGGTGAGTCGCACTGCCCAGCCCCCTCACTTGGCTTCCCCAAAACCGAGGCCAGGCTGGCGCTCTGCCAGCAGCAAATTAGTCTTCTCTGAGGGAGACCAGGCTGCAACACGTGAGCTGGCTGCCTTGGTGGGGAGAAGCCTGGCCTCAGGTGTAGCTCCTCTTGGTTTTCCCTCCAGCTGGCTGCCTTTGCTTGGAGGCAGGATTTGAGGTGCCTGCATGGCAGGAGTTGGTGTGAAGTCCTTACCCTCCAAAACCCAGTATCCCAAGAAAACCAGGCATCCCGAAACCCTGAGAGCATTTGTCCCCTTCTTAATCCTGGCTTTAACTTCTTCTGTCCCTTTTGTCTCCTCTTTCCTGCCCCAACTCCCCAAACCTGAGCTCTTGCAAGAAATCTTGGGGTGTCTGCTCCCTGTTCCCCAATGCATGTGTATGGGAGGGAAGCTGGCTGGAGACCATGTGCTGGTCCCCAGCTCCCCTGTGGCTGCCTGCAGTGTATCCTGCTGGTCCTGCACTGTGTCTGCTTTGTCCCAGCTCATCAGCCGTGGTCAGGATGACGGGAATGCCAGGGTCGGTTCCTGTAGCCTTTCCTTGCCCACACCAGTCCTTGTCCTTCCTGCAGGTGCCCTTCCTCTCTGTGGGAGGGGACATCGGGGTGCGGACGGTGCGGCACTGCGACACCAGCCCCCTGAGCGGGGAGTACGTCGTGGAGGACGTGAAGGGGGACGGCACCTGCTACTTCCGCCGCCTCGTCTTCCTCCGCAACAGGAATGTGGTGCAGTCAGAGGCTCGGCTCCTGGCCCCCACGCCTCTCCCAGGTACGTGGGGCAGCCAGGAAGGGGCAGGGGCCAAGGGTGACACTTCAGGGTGACAGAGAGTAAGATCGATACAGGATGAAGATAAAAGTCCTGCTGGGACCTGCCTGCCTTGTCCCAGAGCAGCTCTGGGAGCATTTTTACACTACACTGCTTGTCTTGTGGGTGGGACAGGGGCTGGGGCTGGGGCTGGC